CAGGGTCATTATGGGAATTTAGTCCTGTTTTACATCACATTTAGGGAGCACTTCACGTTTTTCAAAATGTGAAGGGTTTTTAATCACTATTGACCATGTCATAGTCTATACAAAGTAAATCATCCCTATGATAAAATCAGTTTTGGTGGCTAGTTTCATTTTGCTACATACATTAGAAATGATAGCGGACAAAATATGTTTCCATTACAAATGTTTCCGTTTTATGTGCAGACTTGAAGGAGTGTTGGTGGGAGTGAATCAAAAAGTGTGTGTGTGAGAGAGGGAGGGTAACACTGTAAATAGCTCACTGGTGTGTCTTTATGTCAGAATATCCTTGCAGTATTTTGGAGGATTATTAAAAACACTTCATAAATCCTATGTGTATTTGATGTATTCCTGTCTTCACTTGCCTTCTTGTACATTTGTTTCCTTTTGTGATGCTCTGTTTACACTCCTACCATGTTTGAGGGCCACTTATTTTTGGCAGTTTACTCTTGGCTTTTAGCATTTTCCTCTAGTTTTAGTGTGACCCTATATAGTCATACTGAATGCTGTATATATTTTACATTACTACTATATAAGGACAAAGGCGATTTTTAGCTAAGGAAAAATAGTATATGAAAAAGGAAATGGCTTGTTCATTTCAAAATGTGACGGGTCTGAAAATTTTGGGATGCCTACTGTTCTGTAGGTCATTTCAGAAGCACAGAGAATTTCATAGAAGATGATTAACATAATGTTTGCACTTTGTGTATGGTCAGAGAACTGTAGTTACATTAAAAGTTACAGAGGGGTAGTTGTGTTAGTCTGTAACTAAAGTTATTTATATAGTAACATTAGGTAATTAAACCAGACTTATTTTAGAAATAACTCTCAAAGTTTTAGCAAGGAAAGGGGAGAATACTTCAGGGAATAAGAGCTCTTATGCTCCCACGCACTGTAGCTAAACTTGGTGATGTGAAGTTAGTTTTCAAAGCCCTGGATTTCCATATCTAGCCAGAAGGAAAAGAAGCATTTGTTCCTGAACCCAGTCAGAATAATTCCAGTGTTCCTCAGTAGCTGAGAAAAAAGAACCATTTAAGGGGAATAGCTAAACTCCTATCTGTGGTGGCTGCTGGAAACCCAAAAGAAACTTTAACTCTGATCTGATGGAATGCTTAGGATACCTCCCATAAATCTTCACTGATACCAACTCTATTGTTAAAGAATTGAAACCAAAGCCAATCACTGTGATTTGTGAGGTAGTCCCTTTGTACAATTGTGAACCCCCCTCCTCCCCACAGCAGCAGTGTTCCTTTACACCAGGCATGTCAAACTCGAAGACTACTGAGGGCTGCACAAATGAAAATTGATAGCTTTCAGGCCACCAAAGAAAATGTACTTCTATCAGAAAGTCATAATTATTTATTATTATAGATTATGGTTTAGGTATATTTGATAATTTTCAGAGCTTGTTTTAATGTAATACAGTAATTTTATATGTAAAATTATTTGTCCATATAAAATATTTTTTAATTTAAATATAAATTTAAGGTACTTTTTACATTTTTTAGATGAGACATAACTTGTTTTGTTGAAATAAAAACAGGTATAGACCATGGTTAATCAAATAGAACAGGCTTCTGTGAAAATTTCAGATACTTTGTAAGTTTGAGATTTTACATAAATGTATAATATTCATGCAACTGCAAAAAATTGACATATTTATTGATATACAATTAATGTACATTTTGTAATTTTATTTGGGAATAAATAAATAAAAAACAAAATGTTAACAAAATATCCTCCTCCTGTCCCCCAGAGCCAGGCACTCCCATACCCCTGTTTCTAACCCAATCCCCATCCGCTCCCCAGAACCCGCCCTCTCTAATCCAATGCCTCATCTGTCCCCCAGAGCCAGGTACACACCCCTGTAATCCAATGGCTCTCTCCTCTCCCAGAGCCAGGCCCCCCAACCTAATGCCTCTTCCCTCCCCCAGAGCCAGGCACCCCCCCAGATCCTCCTAACCTAATGCCTTCCCTCTCCCCCAGAACCAGGCACTCCCAGCCCCCCTAACCTAATGCCTGGGTCCCAGAGCTGCTGCCGCTGCTACACATTTCTTCCTCAAGCGCTGGGGCGGCATGATCACAGTGGCGAACAGTGAGCAGGCGCTTGATGCCTGTGCAGAACGGCCGGCCAGCTGTAAGCATGTGCTGGAGCGCAGAGTGGCCCGGCCAGCCGTGAACAGTCACTAGAGTGCTGAGCAGCCCGGTCGGCCATGAGAACGTGCTGGAGCACCCAGCGCAGAGTGGCCGAGACAGCCGTGAGTAGTCGTTGCGGTACCACGTGCAGAGTGGCCAGCCAGCCGGCAGTGATCTGCACTCGGACACGTGCTCCGAGCGGCCAGCGGGCTGCACTTTATTCTTTTATAAAAATGCAGTGGCGGGCCCACCAGAGGCCTGTTTGACATGCCTGCTTTACACTGAATCTGTCCCCTGGGAGATTGAGACTCCTTAGTGCAGGAGACCTGGCTTTCCCAACATGGTAGCACAATGGGGAGGTGCACCATCTCTCTCTGCTCCTGTAAAATCTTAATTGCTAAAAGAGGTGCCCCCTCATACTCCCTTCCTATGCTTCTTGGTGGCCCTCCCTGCACCTCCTCCCCTGCAGACACCAGTTGCCCAAGATGGTGAAACTTACTCCCGGTAGAGAATAAAATGACACGGATCTCACCATTCCTCAGATCAAATACAAAGCTCACTTATTTACTTAGTTTTCCCACTTTAATACATGCACACACATGCGCTCCTATCAGGAGACTAGAGAGCCCTTTAAGCCACAAAAGCATGCTCTGCTTAACTAAAGAGACAAGTGTGAAATGATCTGTGTCATTGACTGCGATTTTTTATCTTTTTTCTGTCACTTAACCATAACCTGGTCTGGTCTGATCTGTATCAGTATTGGTTCTCTTAGAGTGAGTATTTTCTGACAGGAACAATAATTATTCTAAAAAAGTCTTTTGGAGTTTAGTTTTTCCATCATTCAAATAATCCTGTGTAGACAAAGGCAGAAAGAGCGTCATTACTAAAGGGCTAATATTATTAACAGATGAAAGGGAATGGAAATTTCTGGAGACACAGGATGGATTAGGGTAGCACAGAGAGGAAGCCTATGAGCAAAGAGGGCAGAGGATTTTTATTTATGGTACAGCGGCATGTTCTGGCAGGTTGTGTTGCTGTTCATGTTATAAAGGCTGCCAGCTTTCTTTTTCATGTTAGTGTCTTGTTAATGGTTTTCTTTTTATGAAGCTGCAGACTCCTTTGTATGTGAAATCCTGATCTTCTCACTTGCTAATGGAATGCTGTGCCTCTGCTTGTTCTTCCCTGAGTTTTGTAAGTTGCAAAATTGAGACATCTGTTGGCAGGTGGAGTTAGGTGGAGCAGCGTCCATCAGTCAGTAGAGCCCTGCAAATCTGAGAACATCTTTATATCTGTGAATCCCTGTGTCTGTGGGTCAGATGCAGATACAAATTTTGTATCCATGCAGGGCTCCAATTATTAGTGTCCCAGTTACCGATGCATGTTTTTGTGGATGCAAATGAATGTGTTTATCATCTGTTGGCAGGTGGAGTTAGGTGGAGCAGCGTCCATCAGTCAGTAGAGCCCTGCAAATCTGAGAACATCTTTATATCTGTGAATCCCTGTGTCTGTGGGTCAGATGCAGATACAAATTTTGTATCCATGCAGGGCTCCAATTATTAGTGTCCCAGTTACCGATGCATGTTTTTGTGGATGCAAATGAATGTGTTTATTGTGGGGTAAAACTGTTTTAGTAGCCACAGCATATTGATCCGAGTATTTGAAAAGGTCCCATGGAAAGTGTCACTTCTTCTGCACTCCAAACCCCCGTGGGAACCAGGGCTGGGAGTGAGGCTGTGATTCTGCATGGGTGGGGGATGCAGACATGGGTAAGGGAACTGAGGCTGGGGCCACAGCTAGGGGAGTGCTGAGGTTGGGCCAGAACTTCAGCTGAGGGAGGGGGCAGGTTCAGGGATGGGACTCTGTGGTGCTCCCTCCTGGCTTCTCAAGGGAACTCGCCGGGCCCTGCTGCGTCACCTCGAATGGTCACCCCATTGTTTGGGAACTAGTGAAAAATATACAGCTGGACAAAGTTGAGCTCCATTATCACAGTGCTTATATTCAAAGTTGTTCACTCAAATTTTAACACCACATTCCTCTTCTGATTGCTTGAAATGAAAACAACAGTGATGTTTTGTCTCTGGAGTTATGCCAGTCTCTGCTGTTTTTGCATGTTCTTTGTCATTTTCACTGTATGTTATCCTGCTCACAATTTGAAGTGTGTACACACACACACACACTCACCCACCCCCACCAGTAACTTCTGACCAGTATTTTTCCTGATCCAGCCACGAGAGGGCACTCTCGTACCAAATTGACTTTCTTGTCAACATCATCATCCTTGAAACACCCCTGTTGCCTTTAAAAAAAAATGTATTTACCAGTTCTGAAATTTGTGAACTGAAATTTCATATGTAATTTCAACTGTCTCTGTGAGACTTAGCAATGTGGTGACAGTTGCTTGGTATTGAAACAATACTCCAGATTTCTAACTTCAATGTTTTTATAGTGATAATTGATTTAGTTTAGCAGCGTATTAAAAGTTTTAAGTAAGACAACTTTACTATTGTTTTTTAGCAGTGGAAATAACAAATTGCTAAGCTCTCAACCTCTTGGGTATGTTGAGGGGCTTAATTATAATTTGCAAAGTGCTTTGAGATCCTTGCACACTACGCAGCAAAGCTGCCAAGTTGCTAGTTAGTAGATATTAGCTATTTATTTATTCTGGGATATATGGGGGAAAACAGAAAATGGCAGACTTGTAACAAATCAGTCTGACAGTAAGCCAGTGTCTCAAGGGTAATTTGCAAATGTTGTTGAAAACTTCTTGGCATTGATTACATTTTGCAGAGGTTATTTATAACAATTGAATTGATTTGCAGCACTTCTCAGCCTGGTAGCTACAAAGAAGTGGAGAACCCTTTTACATCTGTTCCTGAGGATGCATCTTTGGCTCCTACACCAGCTAATGATGTAGAATCGCTTGCTCAAGATGGTACTAGATTGACAAAGGAAGTAAAGAGGTATTGTGTAATAATGCCTTTTATCCAACTTCTGTCTTGAGGGGGTCCCCTGCTTTAGAATATATGAAATCATTTTTATATGTTTGTCCAGGGATGAGTGTCTGGTTGGTAGCTTTTGCTGGCTCATCCACAGGAATTTTCGAGGGTGTGTGTGCTTTTTTTTGTAAATGTGAGCTGCACCCTTTACATGCACAGACACCCACTCCTGCATACAGGCCTGCATAACTAATATTAACCCCTTTTCTACTGATTCCTGATGAAAGCCTTCTTCTTTATAGCTACTAATATTTGTGTAAGGACTGTACTTTGTTACCTACCAAATTGCAATCAAGTGATTAAACCACATGTCATTTAACTGTGGTCCATGGAGTACAGGGAAGGCAGGAAGGTGTCCTGTGGATAACTAACTGATTACATGATGCCAGGTAGGAAACGGAATTGAAGGACAGCTACAAATGCTGCTAATAATAATACTGTTACTTTTCCCTGTGAAGTGTGACTGTAGTTGCCATGGGAATGTTATGTGATAATGAATGAGAAGGGCTATAGAAGGACAGTGTCCCAAAACCACAGGCTAATTTGATTTACCCATCTCAGAGGGGCAAGGGGCCTATATGGTCCCTGAAGGGATTCAAGTTCAGGTCTAGGTTATGGAGACAGGGTACAGCTGGACAGGTGCTTCAGCGCAAAGTTCTTGATAATGCGGGAGTAGACCGTACCCTTGCCGGAGCCCATGATCACAGCCCACAGCAGTGGCCGCACCACCATGGTGAAGTCCCACGCTCAGAGCTGAGGGATGGAGAACCAGAGTGGGGAGCCTCAGCGGGGGCTGCTGTCCCAGCATATCCTATGCAGACCCCTGGGCTCAAGCTGCAGGTGCTGCAGAGGCAGCTGCTGGGGGAGCACAGGCGGGGGCAGCGAATGTTGCACTACCTGCGCCAGGGAAAGTGTAAGTGCTTCCTAGAAAGCCCAACCCAGCCTCCTTCCCCACCTCCCCTCCCCGCAAAGGCAGTGCCCACAACCCCACGGCCCACTTATTCAGTCCAGGAGTTCGAACTCTGAATCCCGGGCTCCAATACGGCAGGCAGCCCTTCCCTGCTGGGGTGCATTGGGCTTGGGAGGTTGCAGGCTGGGAGATGGTTCAGCTAGAGACTGGGGGTGGGAAGGGGAATCTGGTCCCTCACAATTACTTGACAGACCATGGTGCACTCTTTTCACCTCTCCTGCGTATGGGCCTGCTTTGGAAAGAGGTATTAGACTACCTCGCTTGGCGTAGATATGCACTAGTCACAAAAGCACAGATAAAATACAGGACTATGTAGCACTTTAAAGACTAACAAGATGGTTTATTAGATGATGAGCTTTCGTGGGCCAGACCCACTTCCTCAGATCAAATAGTGGAAGAAAATAGTCACAACCATATATACCAAAGGATACAATTAAAAAAAAAATGAACACATATGAAAAGGACAAATCAAATTTCAGAACAGGAGGGGGATGCAGGGGGTGGGGAAGGAAGGAAGGTAAGTGTCTGTGAATTGATGATATTAGAGGTGGGGAGAGTGGGATGTCTGTGAGCTAATGGTATTAGAGATGATAATTGGGGAAGCTATCTTGGTAATGGGTAAGATAGTTTGAGTGTTTGTTCATTCCTTCTCGGAGAGTGTCGAATTTTAACATGAATGACAGTTCAGAGGATTCCCTTTCAAGTGCAGATGTAAAAGGTCTTTGTAGCAGAATGCAGGTGGTTAAGTCATTGAGAGAGTGTCCTTTCTGGTTAAAATGGCAAGAAACTGTTTTTTCTTTGTGATCTTGTCTGATATCTGTTTTGTGGGCATTAATCCTTTGGCGAAGTGTCTGAGATGTTTGTCCAATGTACATAGCAGACGGACACTTTCGGCACACGATAGCATAGATTATATTTCTGGATGCGCAGGAATATGTGTGCTTGATCTTATAACTCACTTGGTTAGGTCCAATAATGGTATCAGCAGAATGAATATGTGGACAAAGCTGGCAACGGGGTTTGTTGCAAGGGAAGGTACCAGGGTTGGTATTAGTGTGGTATGTCCTGTGGTTGTTGGTAAGAATCATCTTGAGGTTAGGTGGTTGTCTATAGGAGACTATGGGTCTGTCTCCCAATTTGTAGGTATTCGTCTGGCTCTTTCAATTTGCTTTTTTATTTCTCCGAGTGGGTAGTTGAGGTTTATAAATGCTTGGTAGAGATCCTGAAGTTTCTGGTCTCTGTCAGTGGGATTAGAGCAGATGCAGTTGTATCGAAGGGCTTGGCTATAGATGATGGATCGTATGGTGTGTTCTGGATGGGAGCTGGAAGCATGTAGGTAACTGTATGAGTCAGTGGGTTTTCTGTAGAGAGTGGTGTCTAATTTTCCGTTGCTGATGTGCACTATTCACAGAAGCCAGGAGAGGGAGCTTGGATTGCATCCGTGGTGGTGGTTCTGATGTTCCATATGCTTTTATATCTAGTGTAAGTGAATTGTGGGACTAAGTCAGAGAGTTTGCATTTTCGAAGCTGGGCTCAAGAATTGTTTTTCAGATGAACTGTGTATGTTCAGGTCCAGGACAGGATAATGGTTGTGCTCAGCATCATCCGGCATGAACGAGTAAGAAATCCCTGTCAGGGTCTGGGGTGCAGTTCAGTGAGTTATGTCACTGCTTTTCCTGTAACTTAGAAAGCCTTAAAATGCTCTGCAGCTAAAATGCTCTCTATCTGGATATTCCCATGAAGGATACAAGCATCCACTGAGTGACTTCGTATTCAGCAACCCCGACTTCAACTCAGCCTGCTAGTTACACCAAACTCACACTCAGGTCTTCACCAGCCTTGGGTTACTACAGATCAAGTGACCCTCCACCCTAGAGCTGCATTTCCTTAAAACAATTTCCCCTGAATTCTCAAGCCCTCTCCTGGAGCAATCTGAGGAGTAGTAAGATCCATTATTCCTTTAGAGAGAGAAAAACATGGCTTTACCTGGAGTTAATAATAACTTTGTACTGTATGGGTGCGTCTAGACTGGCAAGATTTTGCGCAAAAGCACTTGCTTTTGCGCAAAAACTTTCCAGCTGTCTACACTGGCCGCTTGAATTTGCGCAAGAGCACTGACTTTGTAATGTACAAAATCAGTGCTTCTTGCGCAAATACTTTCATGCTCCTGCTCAGAGATAAGCCCTCTTGTGCAAGAATACTTGCGCAAGGGGGCCAGTGTAGACAGGCACCTTAATTTTTTGCGCAAGAAAGCCCGATGGCTAAAATGGCCATCGGAGCTTTCTTGCGCAAAAATGCGTCTAGATTGGCCCAGATGCTTTTGCGCAAAAGCACTTTTTGCGCAAAAGGATCCTTGCCAATCTAGATGCTCTTTTGCAGAAATACTTTTAATGGAAAAACTTTTCTGTTAAAAAGTATTTCGGCAAAATCATGTCAGTCTAGATGTAGCCTATTTGACTTTCCACAGGAGAAAAATACCTGTATTTTGTGCTGTCTCAGGGAGCCAGCATAACAGAATAGTTTAAACTATTTTTTGTGCAGCCCTAGATTCCAGAAAGATCATGAGGAACTGAATGACATTTTCAGTGGAGCGTTAAATTGAGCAAAACTCACCTAGCTTGGGGTTTAATTACAAATCCGACACGTGGGCTGTTTTTTCCAGAGCCTCCTGGCCCCTCTGTATAGTGGCCGGACATGGCAGCTGCTTCTGGGAGTTGCATCGAGCCAGGGTAGGCAGGGAGTCTGTCTTAGCCCCACTGCACGGCTTACTAGGAGCTATCTGAGGTAAGTGTTGCCCAGCCTGAGCCTGCACCCAAACCACCTGTCCCAGCTTAGCACCTTTTCCTGCTCTCTTAGCTCCCTCCCAGCCCCTGCAATCCCACCCACACCGCAACCCTGAAACCTCTCCCACATCCAAACACCCTCCTGGAGCCTGTACTCTGAACCTCTTCCTTCACCCCAAACCTCAGTCCCATCCCCAGCCCTTCCTCAGAGCCCACACTCCCTCCCACATCTGAACCCCCTTTGTGAAATCCAAATCCCTCATCCCAAGCCCCACTCCAGAACCTATAGCCCTCACCTCCTCTTGTACTTCAAGCCTCTGCCCCAGCCCAGAATCCCATCCTGAACCCTAAACTAGTCATTTTTGGTGCAACCTCAGAACCTAGTAGAAGCCAGAGCCTCAACTCCTCCCCCCCACAGGGATGTATGTGCCCCCCAAATTGATCTTTATTTATGGATCAATGGCCCCTGATAGAATAAAGGTTCTACACCCCTGGTTTGGAGCATAGTAACTTGCCACGCACAAATCAGATCATCATCATCAACAACCGTGGACTTAAGGCCGGTAGGTGTCTGATGCCTCCCTCACTATTTCCTTCCATCTTTCTCTGTCCAGCGCGGAGTGGCTTAGTTTCTGTAGACTAGCTCCGTACCAGTCTACTAGATCATCTACCCATTCTCTGTGGGGTCTGCCTCTCCTATTTGGGCCACCCATTATGCCGAATATCAGGGTCTTAACTTTTCATTCGTCATTCATTCTGCAGATATGTCTGAATATCTGTAACTTTCGTTGTATAACTTTCTGCAGTAGGTTCTCTTTTGTCTGTATCTTCCTATATAAGTCCTAGTTGGTGACCTTCTGCATTCATCCTATTATCAGGATCTTTCTATAACAACTCCTATCAAATGCCAATATCCTACTCTTTGAATATTTTCTTATCACCCATGTCTCACATCTGTATAACATGCTACTAAATACACGTTTTCAAGACGCGCAGCTTCATTCCTAAGCTAATCGCTTTACTTTTCCAGATCTTATCCATGGCCTTCGAACTAACTCTTGCTTTTGCTATTCTAGTCACTATTTCCTTCTTATAGTCTAGATCATACATCGTGATGCTCCCCAAATACATGAACTTCTCTACGTTTCTAGTTCGATTCCATCTACACTGATCTTCCTTCCTATTTCCTTATCTCCTAATACCATTGTCTT